ATCTGATCAACTATAGTTCTCAGAGAAGGCGTGAAAATAATTTCGAATTAGCGTGATGCATGATATTTGAAATCTTTAATTATCTATATCGATGACGTTGATAAGGGACTAGCGTGCGGAGGTCGATGTTATGTGACGTTTGATGTTTGAACTAGATATAATGCAAAACATATATATTAAAACTAAAAAGGAAATAGAAAGTAGAGTCGTTATTTTTGTTATTTCATCATGGAAGCTATCTTACTTTCTTCTTCTTAGGTTCTTCTTGTTACCGTTACTACACTCTTATATTTTATATTCTAAATCTGAATTTTGTTAGCGAAGCAGCGAATCGCCAAAGAATTATTTGCACATCGGCGAGTTTATATTTAACTGTTCGAGAATTTTCTCAAGCGAACAATCGTGTCCATCGACCCGAATAACGAAGATTCTGGCGTATCGATAGTTTCGGTCGCAATAATCTTGATCGTGTAGAGCCCCAAGGATCTCTTTCGTGCCAAGTGCGAAGATCTCATCTAAAACGATGCGTCTCGCCGAGGATAGGATAAATGAATTCAATGCCATCGAGCCGCACGTCGAGTGAAATTTTGCGATATCTACGATCTCGCAGTTTATTATTGGAATATCATCTTACTATTCTATGTTCTAGGACAATAATTGTTAATATTGTACCGTTATCGTCAAAAGTCATATCACGACGTATCTAGTACAACCGTCATCGCGCTCGGACGACCAGAATTGCTCCGTAGTCCACCGTGACTCGAGTTCCCCCAATCGCCTCGATTTACAGTTTTTTTTTGTTTTTTTTTGTTTTTTTTTTTTTGCAACAATTTCAGGATGAAAGCACGCGGGTTCCGCATTATTTACAACGCGCGCGGATTACTCGCGCTATTTACATACAGTGCGCGCGTCGTTGTCGAACTCCACGCTTCCGTTACAACGGGCAAGCGTGAACGATACGCCGCGTCGATTGCGATAATCCCCGATCGCACCGTGTAAAATATAACAGGTAACGTCTCGCTCGCGACGCATGCTTGCATCCTATACAATCCGCCTTACGAATTAACTCATATTTGTTTTTTTTTTTCTCCCTTTTTTCTGTCATTTTATTTTATTTTTTTTTTTTTTGATTGCTTACGCGCGATCGAACATTTCAGCGATCAAACGACGTCGCTCGTAACGCGCCCGGGTTTAGCAAGCATATTTGTGAAATTTGAAAACTAGCGAGAAATCGTTTCTCTCGTCTAGGCGTGAACCGATTATCATAATAGCGAGTGTACAGGGTGTTCCGTTTTGATCGACCCGCGGCAACGTCGACGAGAATTATTAGCGGCATTTCGACTTCCGTACGAAACAGATTCAACGCCGCTAATAATTTCGACGATATTCGACGTGAACCAACCGGAACAGAACGCTCCGTATAATAATTTGCCTTTTATTTTCATCGCTGAAATGGCTCTTTTAAGCACCCTCGATCTTTCAGGGTGGAACCTCGAAACGTTATTTTGCGAACAACCCGCCGAGCGTGGTAATCACGATCGCAACGATCCTTGCTATTTCATTTCCCATCGCGACCGAATTCAACGCGAAACCGAATCCTTATTTCCTCGATGATTAATGGACCGCGCGCGTGCACGTCTCGGGCTCGTTCACGAAAACCCACTCGAAAGGGAAACGGTTCCGACGGATCGTTGGAATCGACCGCTTTTATCGTATGTTTTTGGCACGGGAACCTGTTTCGATGGCTTTGAAAATAAAATATCGTACTCCATAACCGACGACCGACTCCTTGTCGAAACCTTCGAGTAAAAATGAAATATTCACGGCGTTCCGGTCGTGTTTACCACACAAGGCAACGGTCTAGCGTCGCGACGATCATCGATCGTACAACCACAGCATGACAGCGAGCACCCGCGAGTGATCGATCAACCTTCCATTTTAACAACCACTTAAAATATGCAATAACAGCACGACCGGTGGCGAGGTACGTTACAAAACTAGTACAAAACTAGCAGCTAGGTACAAAAATGTAATTAACCGTTAATAATGGAGGCCGCCCGGAAAACTGCCAGGGACCAGCTCCGCACGCTCAACTACCACCCATCCGCCCCCCCCCCACCCCGAAACCCTCGGGTTTCATACCTTCACGTTGCATCTGCAGAAAAGAAAGCAGCAACGCCTCGGCCGTAACTTTGCAACGCAGGCACCATTACCCTCCTTTTCTTCTTCACCGAGTTTCACGAACGCTTTTCGCCTAACCCCCGAACCCCCTCTCGCCGCTACGTTCCCTTTTCTTCTTTCCCCTTGAGCGACTTTAAAGTATTTAGAATCTCGTTATCGCTGAGGAATTTAATACTGCTCGGTTTGGCGGTTTCGCGGGTGCACAGAGACGTGGGCGTTTTACGACTCGTTGAACGAAACTCGAGGAATAATAGTATTCCGCTCGATAAATGTTTTCTATGTGCGATAAGATCTGTTAAAAGATGTGTCGGTACGGAATAGCGTGAGGTAATCCACAATTACCAATAGTTGTATCAATCTTTTGTTTTTGTTTGGCAACGGAGTGATCGTTTGGACATTTTCGTGATATTTCCGTTGGTGATTAATTTATAGAAGAGCAAAGAATTTTATCTTGTCGAGTAACAGTCATTTTTAGTATTGTCATTATTGTCCATTAACGCTGACTCAGGGCAACTAATTTCACTATTCGTATCGTAATGCTCCATCGTTTGAATCCGTTTCGATTTGGAAATTACGAAATTTTGTTCGAAATTGTCTCTTGACATTTTCTATGAAAACGAACGAAGGAGTTGGCACAGTAACGACCATAACTCGAAATTAGTTTCTTGATAGAGACATTTAACAAATTTTTTTAGAATGTAGAATAATTTTAATGGGAGATTCTAGATGGCAAAATAAGACGATAATCAAGAATGCTAATTTGTTGATGAAAGCTTCGTTAAAAAGTTATTAACGTTTAAAGTTCCGCTCGTGCTGAATTTTTTTCTAGAAAGTGGGTAGAAATTCGGGGGTAGGTCTGTTCACCAAGAATTATTGTAATTGACCCCCGCAACCGAAAATAATTTTTCCAGCACGATTTGAAATTTTCTAATTTTCTTCGAAAAATTTCACACCTTCTCGAATTTTTTTCTCGAAAGTGGGTAGGATTTCGAGGGTATGTCTAATGACAAAAACTGATTGTAATTGACTCCCCCTAACTAAAAATAATATTTTCAGAACGATTTGAAATTTTTTTTTTCACCGAAAAATTTAGGCACCATCCCCTTGTCGATTTTTCTTAAAAATTGGTTTTTCATTTTATTAATATTTTTTTGTATGTACACATAGGCTCTGCTTCAGAGAATAATTTCAACCAAATCTATTCACTATTGTAGGAATTATGGCCGTTTGAAAATTGGACCATTTTTATGGGGTCTTTCTCACTTTACGGTGTCAAGGATCAACTTTTCCAACATTATTAAAATCTCTACATATTCTTCATCAAAATACGCGTCGTTTGCATTCTCAAACATTAAAATCGTCCAATCCGTTCAGGAGTTATGACAGTTTAAAGATTCGCATGAAATTTCAGGGAAGCATTTCTGGCCTCACATTAGATTTTTTTTCTCGAAAATGCGTAGGATTTCGGGGGTACGCGTATACACCAAAAATGATTGTAACTGACCCCTGCAACCAAAAATAATTTTTTCAGAACGATTTGAAATTTTGTAATTTAATTTTGTTAATAACTTTTTAACGAAGCCTCAGTCAACAAATTGATATTCTGGATTTTCGTCTTATTTTGGCCTCTAGAATCTCTCATTAGAATTTTTCCCAGGGCTGACAGAACACTCTGTATACAACATGCTTGTTTGTTCCTCCGAGAGTTTGGAGATCCCAGTTTGAGAAACGCTGTTACAAACTAAATAATTCAAACACCATTGCTCGGTAACCCCTCCATCGATCAATATAATATTCATGAATAAATACTTCGAAGTGGCTACTTCGGCTCATTGATCATTCAATAACTGTCCAAACAAGTGCTCCGTTACACGTATTGGCGAACGAACGTCGAAACGACCGCTTCGTCTTTCGACGGTTCCAATCAAAAGTTTCGCTATTTCGAAAGGAGAAACCTGAAAGCTTCCGTGGTCCATGAGATTCCTTTTACTCGACCACGCGTTGTCTTGCGATCCGACGGTAACGGAAACGGATCGCTTTGTCGGCGACGGAGCGTACGCGGGGATCAATTCCCGGATTCGAAAGCGATACCCAAATCAGTGTGCACCCGGGAGATCGCATTGTAGAAGTTTTAAAGCTTGCAACGACGGATCTGGACGAAAGAACCGCGTTACGCGCGATCTAATATGTACACGTACACAACGAAGAGACGTTCGGAGTGAAATCATAGCGTTTGCTGTTTTTTTTCCTTTCGGTTTTTGATGCACCGCGCACGACCCCGGCTAAAAACCTCGAAACGCGTCGCGAAAAGGTACGAAGAAAACCGCGAGAGACGTTTGGAAAAAGGTAGCTGTGTTTCGTTTTCTTATCAATTTTATTGGAATTATTAACAAATGCGACGGGCGACGGTACCCCCCCGTCGCGTCCACGGATCGTTCGCTTTTTCGACCCTCGACGAATCGATTGTCCGCGTCGACGCGTTATCGTCCTCCTTATTGCTTAGATTTTCATCGGATCTATTAAAAAGTTTCGCGCGCGAGTCGTTTTGGCGGAACGAAATCCTTCGTTGTTGCGATTCCGGTGGGAGTTAATATTAATTTTGATTTCACGGGGTGATAATCGCGATTCATTGGCGAACGATCGTCGGACGGCAAATATCGATACCGTGGCTCGTCGAACTGGCAAATAACTCGCGTGACATAAGTGTTCTTCCGTGGTAAACAATTAACATGGTACACATCGCAACACTCGTTGAGACTCGCGCCCCTCGAACGACCGGCTCGACGTAAAAGCGCAAGTCGTCCATTTTCTCGTTCGTGTTTTAGCCGGGGTGCTATTTACATAGCTAACGTTTCAATTATAACATAGTCGAAAGTTTTCTTTGATTCAGTTCTATAGTTAAGACATCGTAACACCGGCGAACACCGTCGACACGTTCCCCCGTCATCCCTAACTCTCTTTCTCCCGATCGTGTCGTACGAGCGTGTCTGGAAACGAGCATCGAGGGAACGTTCGACGTTTCGCGTCTTAGTATCTGCGTTTTCAGAGCACCTCCGGGCACCTTAACCCTTTAATTATCCTGTTATATCAAAACGACACGATAAATTACCGTCGCGCATCTAATGGTATTTGTAACCCCGAACCGGAGCGCCCTCTTACGATTTATTTATTAGAAGAGCCTTACAGATTAGTAAAACACGAAGTCTAGAGTAAAAAATAGAGTAGAAGCTGAGACTTTCTAGACACCGATTTGCGTATGGATTTCTTTTTAAAGGGTTAACGTTCACCATCCAGAAATCTCAGGATTTCGCCTGTATGCTCGCGCCAGCATCACTTTCGAGTGTAGCCGGTAGCAATTTTTTTACATGCTTCTCTCTCCCTCTATCTCTCGCTCTCTCTTTCTCTCTATCCTTGTCTATTTTTTCGAACGATAAGTTGCCAATTTTACCGTACAGCGGTTTACAGTAAGCGGTTAGTCGAGCTGTTTGTTTCGTTATAGTAGCTGTGCTTACGATATTAAATTATCGCGCTATAATCCGATTTATTAACCGCTTAACGCTCTGACTCGCGCGTACTCGAACGCACGCGAGTTGCATTTTTTAACTGTCACGAGCTAAGCCGGACATTTGAAAGTATAACCGATACAGAACCATAAATAAGCTAGGTAAAATATTGTTAACTGTCGTGAACGTTAAGCGATCAAACGAGAAAAAAACAGTAGTAGAAAGAACAGATTATCAGCTAAAATATCATCGAAATTAATTAAATTATTACAATTATCTTAAATAAGTCTTTTACTTTTGACGTTAAAATACGTTTTCTCGCGTCCCGAACGGTATCAAGATCGTTTTTCTCTTTCATCTGTAACGTTTTCTTTTATTTGTCGTTCCGTGGCATTCGAATTTCGTCCGACGAATTTCTTTCCCGTACTGTCAAGAACAAAGGAGTTATTTAAGATGTTCAGTCATAGTATCTTACCCTGCATAATCGTTTATTGCAGTATTATGGATGTGATTACGAGAACATACTCGACTGTCAAGTTCTTAGATACCTAAGTGTCACAGACAATTATCACTCGGAGAGCAACGACAACGAAAATATTTTACTTAAGATTAATCATAAAGATTTACGTAATTATACGATAGAAAAAAATGTATTTGATCGAAGTGGATGAAAAGCAATTAACATTAAATATATCCACCATATAAGTACAACCACAAGAAAAATTAATGGATCTACCATAAATGTTTGTTATTTACGACGCGTCGAGAGTCAAAGCGTCAGCTTTTCTGTGGGTTTTTGACGTACGAGATTCTCTTATTTTACGTCTCTTTCGCTTTCATTTGCAAACGAACAGGTTCGTTTCTATTCTCCGATATTTTCGTTTCCAATAATTCCGCGATACACAAAAGTCACGGTTCGCTTGTGCGATGCGTCGATTCGAACGAGCTCCCTTTCTGTAGACATCACCATGTCTTAAATACGTGAGAAAATCCCGCTGGTCGTAAAATTCAGACCACCGATACCAAGTCCGAGAGTAAGAACCCGGCAGGGGAATGTTTTGATGTTAATGGCGAATGTTCTCCCCGTAACCTCGTAAGTCAAGAACGCCGACGAAAGCAAAAGATCGCGAGGGAATACATTTTCTCACTGTTGAAACACGCGTCGTGTAAATCGAGGACAGGATCCCTCGGAAGTTTTCAAATTTGGTCGTCGATGCATCTGCTTCTGAGAAGATTCCAAATTTTCGAGACGGACTCGCGTGCAAATCGACGAAATCCCCGTGATTTGTCGTGAATTTATTATCGATATAGACACGCTGGCAAAGTAACTCGAATCAAATCGAAATGCTCGAGGGGCCCAACGTGTCACTGTATTTAAAAAATAAAAAATTTCCACACCCATGTTCACCGGAACGTCTGTCCCCGAATATCGCCTGTAAATTTCATGGCAAAAACTGTTATTTGTATAGAAGTATTTTTTTTTTGTATATCGTTGAGTAATAATTGAGACGTTTCTTTAACTTGATTTTTATAATCTTCCTCGATGCATTCGCGTAATATTGTACGTGTTTGCACCGAGTAGTACAAATATTAGCGCTATGTAAACGTTGTACGAGGTGTGTAAGTGCCACTATTAAAATAGGGCGACTCGAGACACGTCATACAGGGTGTTTCACAAACTGAGACAGCTTACCAGGATATTAACACTAGGACTACGATCTTCAATAAATTAATTTGTCCAAAATTAACTGATCCAACAGACTTTGACTTACGTCCAGTAAAAATTTGAGCAGAGTCGACGTCTTCGTATAAGTAATGATTTTAAGACGCAAACCTTTAAGAAAACAATCGTTTCTGTTATACCTTCGAACTAGGCTAGATCGTTTGGATTAAAAAAGAATTAACGCACGAAACATGAATTTATTAATTTATCGAAGATACGGCCACGTTTTATGAAACGCCTTGTACGAGAGTCGTAGTTCCACGGCGCTCTCAACTGCGCTCCAGGAACGCTTAATTCGCTATAGAATGCCGGGGTATAAATGAACTGCGCGGTTTTATTTATAGCACCGCTTTCTCTCCGCCCATGGAAAATCGTTTTCGCGAAGTTTTCGCCTCCTTGTATCGCGTTCCGTTCCTTGATTCCCGTTCGAGTGAGAAACCGGGGCGAGTTTTAAATTAGATTTTCAGTATGAAGGAACCCGCGGTCGAGTGGAATTCACGGAACGACACCGCCGCTAGTTGACCTTTAACAGAATTCTTTAGCGGGCTGCCCCGTAACGAGAAACTTCTTTCCACGTAGCCTGGCCCTTTTGTGCGGTTTCGCGGTGCCGCGGATCGGTTTTCGCGAACGACAATGGGACCGAATACCATGAAAAACCATCGTTAATGTTTCATCGACGCTCAAAGCGAAATGCAATCCCGTTCAATCGAAACACCTGTGCTCATTAAATTTTACGTTTGACCCACATTTCGCTGCTCGATCAATAAATCATTCTCAGAAGCGACGCTCCCGCTCGTACTTCGAAATCGATCTCGACCGAGGGTAACGATCAGAGGCTATGATCGCGTACGTGTATTAACGTACACGTGAACACGTGTCACGTGCAGCCGTGAAAATCATCGCGAGGAACGTGTCCAAGCGACAGCGCCTCTTGCTTCGCGCGTATTTACGATCCGGCTCGTTTCGATAAGCATTTCCTACACCAAACGTAAAATTTTCTCTTTTCGATATTACATACACCGAAGTTTTTCGTATCCAGCTGATCTTCGAGAGACAAATCATGACGTGAAATATACAAAATCCAGGGAAAAATTGTACATTAAAAAATACTTCTGATTTAACGTGCCTTGAAACGCGCTCGATCTTAAATACACGCGAAACAACGAGCGGTAGTTACGACACGCGTATTCGTGTATCAACCCTCTATAACCCAAAACATTTCTATCCATCGATCGGGGAATATAAAGATGAATTTCACTTCGTAAATATTTCGTTGTAAGAAGGGTTTGCGACTCTCGAGTCACAATGGAGTACAACGCTGGCACGTACGTACGCGTACTCGTATATTCTCAAATTCTTAAGACATTGTAAATTTTAATTTTTCACTCGTATGAAAACTGTGTGTTTAGGAGTTAAATAGAACAATTTGTATCTTTGGTACGTTAGCGAAAGAAAAAATTCAAACTTACACAGAGGGGACAGCAATTGTTCTAAACGTATAATTTGAATATACATGTATCGTAGGTTGAATCGTCGGCTGTATATAAATTTCAAGCAGCAGTCGAATTAGTAAATAAATTTCTATTAAACCTTTGAATTCACTTTCGTAAAGATTTTATTTTAGGAATGTTCTCGGCACTCTTTTCTACACAGTCTTCTTTTGTCGTCTCGTACATCTTTCAGTGGTCTCGCGGTGCTCGATATTTAATCAATGCGACACGAAAGTCACGTTAGCTATATTATACAAAAATACTAATAAAAGCGCGACAAAAATCGTATAACGCACGAAAAGCTGCATCTTCTTGCGCGTAACATTTCCGTATAACAATTTCTTTTTCTGTTTAAAGGGCGAAGAAGATAACATCATCTAGTTACATACGCATCGAATAAGCACAGTCAGACGTAGATTACAATCATCCAATATGACGCGAGTTATTCTAACTAATAATTTTTATAAACAGGTTCTTTGGTAGCTATTACTTTATGGTGCAGAGCTGCGAGAGCACGAACTCGTACTTAACCCACGGACGATCGTTGATTCATTGATAATCCTATATCAAGAATTCACTTGCTTTAGCAAATTAAAAACACAAAGCTAAATTACGAATTATTCATTGCCACGAATCGCTAAGTTCTAATAACTATTCTTACTCCGAAGTGTTTGTACTATTATTTTCTCGAACGATGATCCAACTAATGAACGAGAAACGATTCACAGATAGTTCGTATTGTGAATAAAATCGCGTGGTCGTCCAAGGGTTAACGAATAGGTGGTTGCGTGACCTCGTAGTGGTGGTTATAGAGGGTCGATACGCCGTTGCAACTTCCGCTTTCACGCGTTTTCTTTAAACGTTCGGCGATAGAAAAGAGAGAGAGAGAAATAGAGAGAGAAAGAGGAACGGGGACCGATCGCGTCGTCGAGTGGAGGAGGAAGCGCGTTAAAAAAAGCGTGAGACCCCGCGATCGGATCCTCATCGACGAATTTTCATCGGCGTTCTACGGGCGCGCGGATCGACGCGGCGTCGCATTCGTAGAGGCATCTCCGTTAATTGACCTAGTGTTCTCATTTTTTTTTTTTATCTTATTATTTTTTTTTATTTTTGCTTGTTTTATTTTCCCGTTGTTTTTCGGTTGTGTCATCAGCTTCACCGTTTTCACACGATCGACTCGGCTCGCCGTAACGAAACCCCACCCGCACCCGTTCCAATCGAGCGACCAGCGATCGGAGTAAACTGCTCGTCCCCCGTACTCGCGACTCGTTACGACACTTATTGAGCGTGATCTTACGACGTAGATAGGCAACGGTTAGTTTCGCGAACGCTCGCGCGAGAGAGATCGCGTGCGTCCCCGTCGGTTCGACGAGGAAGAGACAAAAGCAAAAAAAAAAAAAAAAAAATGGAAAGAAGAAGAGAAGGCGTTGTCGCGCGAAAAGCAAGATCGTAGACGACGCCGAAGCGCGTCAGCGTACCCGAAGTCGTTCTTCGACAGCTCCGTCGACGGTTTATTCGCGCCAGAGACTCGTAACGCGCGACGCGCCCAGGCTGAGCTTCGATTCTTTCTTTCGTCCGTTCGCTAAGCCGATCAATCGGCGTTCCTTCTCGTTTATTTTTTTCCTTCCGTTAGTAATACTCTTTAATAATAGACTGTAGACGTGTGTATGCGCGCGCGCGTGTGTATATATAATCGACTATATTTAACTTGAAATCGTATAGAAAAGGGAATGCTCTTACATATATACGTTTACGTGATTTCGAATACTTAAAGAAGCGAGCAACGTGCCTTTATCACCGGGCAAGACTCATCCGTGTACCATTCTTTTTTTTTTGTTTTTTTTTTAGTTTCGTGTTCTCCTCCGTTTCGGTTGTTTCGCGCGACGAGGCTCGATAAAATCGGTGTACGAACTCGTCTAAATAGAATTCAAGAACGAACGTTAAAATTTAGTCTTTCAAGTCTCGGTTTTATTATCAGTAGCGTGTTCGATAATCTCGTTGATAGGGAGATGCGTTTTATTGTACTCGATCGACTAGGAACGCGCGTACCTCGAGGCTCGAAAAATGTCTTATCCGAAACTAGACAACTCGGCGCGTAAATGGCGGGGAACGTTCGAAGCGTCTAAAGTATGCTGATGCCGTAAGCCGCGAATTGAAGAACTCTTCCGAGCCGGATAGTTCCCGCGATGAGCAACCGTTTGGATCGTTATTCGCTTCGAAAATATTACCTCCCGTTCTGAACGCGACGACGTTCTTTCAATGGCCGTCGAACGATCGTGGCGGTTTTTCGGAACAAAGAATCTCAGTCTCAGCCCTCGAAGAAGACTCCGAGTGAACGGCGGCGGATGCAAGAACGACCTCGAACCGCGATAGAAAGCGATGCTCTAGGAATGAGGCGCGTGTAGAACGCTCGCGCGCAAAGAAAAGCGTCTCCCTCTTGTTCACGTAGGCGTTTGGCTTTTAATCGTCGTCGTCGAGGCCGAGCAGCTCCGGCGGAAGTCGTCTGTGCCGGCAGCACAACGTCAGACAGAGGACGCGAGCCGCCAACCGAAACTGGGGGCTCAGGGTTCCGAGGACCACCGCTTTCCAGAAACTGTTCGTCACCCCCAGCCACACCACCGCAAAGTGCAGAAACGGTACCTGAAGCGTCAAAAAACGACAAGTGAATCCTTTACGTGCCACGCGAAATCTACGCGGGACAATTAGTTCCATTATTCTACTCTACTTCGTCTACTTCCGGCTATACTGTACCGTTTGGTCTCACGTAAAACACCCAGACTTTTATTTAATACAACTTTCGATAAATAAGCTTCGCTTGTAATATTTAAATGAACATCTTTTGATATTAAAATTTCCTCAAAAATCAATTCAATAGATTTTTGCTCATAAAATAAATAAATATTGAAAATGATATTGAAATTAACTCTATAAATGTATCTTAAAACGTGTGCTTTGTTTGTGCATTCAAATAATAATGAACATCTTTTGATATTCAAAAATCGAGTTCAGAAATTGTAAATTACAAGTTCCAGTATCAATGAATTTTTACTCATATAACAAATAAATATTTAAAGTAACATTGGAATTAACTCGAGCTTCTGTCTTAAAATTCAAACAAGGGAACCAACTAAAGTGGATTTAAATACTATCCACCATCTTCGCTGAATTTTCAAAGTCGTAAAAAGTGATACCAAAAACGCGTTTTATATTTTAAATTCAGTAACACCCAAAATGTCTGAGAAATAAAGATTTTACTTTACAAATAATTAACTAATGCGAGGAGTGATGCAATTTCGTCGAGTGTGTAAATCGTTGAAAGAGTTTGATAACGAGAAACCAAGTGTAAGAAATTTTCTCAGTGGATGCACGTGGTTTTGAAAGTCTAATGAATTGCTTCGAATAATTGAACTGAAACCTGAACTCGATGAGCCTGATGTTTCGATTCGTGGATAAATTACGTTCGTTGTTTAGTTCGAACGAAACAATGGGAGGCTAAATTGGTAGGTGGACGGGATTTTCGACTACAAAAGCGAATTAGCCAATCAGAGTTGAAAGCAATCTTCGCTCGCAGCTGACTAGACGCCACGAATACCTGTACTATGGCCACAGAGACAGAGCAGGGAAAGCTCCTTAAGCTCCGGAGCTTATGTTGGACAGCCCGAACTATACTATAGCGTGCTACCTGTTCTGCCAGAGCTCGTAGTACATGTATTTGGAAGCTTTCTTAGACAACACAAGGCACAGGTTACCTGTACTATCTTCTAATTTACCTACGATTTGAAGCTATTTCTACGAGGAATTATTTAATATTTAATGTATCATTTATATATAAGTTCTCTGACCGGTCTACGACGAAACGAAAAATCTTTCTTTCTCTCTTCAACTTTCCCAGTTTGTTCAGCTTTGTTGATAAGACACTTGAGGGACACGATACAACAGGAGTCCGTGGCAAGAATCCCAAAACAAACAACTACGTCCTCGATAATACCCAGGTAATTCTCGAGGCATAACAGTGCCTCGTCAGAAACTATCGCGTAAACATCAACGTATTACAATCTCAAACGAATAAATTTCAGTTGCAGAAAGCATTAATTTTTGAACGATTCTTCAACGCGTTCTCGAACTTAGTTTTGCAACGTTGCTAAAATTCACTAATCCTCCTATACAAATTTATGTCCCTCAACATCTTAACTCGAGAATGAACTTTCCTGACCCCATAGTGGTGAATCCCGTCACCCATAAAATTCACAAATCCTATCCAAATTTATTTTCCTCGACATCTTAACTTGAGAATGAACTTTCCTGACCCCATAGTGGTGAATCCCGTCACCCATAAAATTCACAGATCCTATCCAAATTTATTTTCCTCAAGGTGTTAACTTGAGAATGAATTTTTCCAGTTCCACAGTGGCGAATTACCCATACGCGAGTTACGTGTTCAGTGAAAGTGTTTAAAATTCATATAGTCAGAGTTTTCTGATTCTACGTTCCCAACGAAGCTCTACAAAGTTCTCTACGTGGTCGTTTAGTAGTAAACTATCGGTTCGGTTTACCTGAGGCGGTCCGTTAACGACAGCGTATATCTGGAGACCCGCGTACGGTGCCCAGGAGACCCAGAAAGTCATCACCAGGACAAAAGACATGATGTGACTCGGATTGCTCAAGTTTTCCGAGAGCGCAGTGGCGTACTCCTTGTCGTGGATCAGCACGCCGGACCTCAGCCGTCTCATCATCGTGAAGATGTAGCAGTAAGTGTAGACGATGGTGATGACCGACGGGCCTAGAACGAGGATCGACAGGGTGATGGTGTACGCGGCCATGTTTCCCCAGTCCAGCATACAGATGAACGCCTCCCGGTCGAAAATGGGCTTTTGGAAACCGAGCAGAGGCGGGCAACACATCATCGCCACGCTGATCCACGTGAAGACCATCCAGCATTGGCAACGGGTCTTCGTTTGCACGGTCTCGTATCGCAATGGTTTTCTGCGGGCCGGAATCATTCGATTACTCGACGGCGAAACCAGCTTCTTTCGCTCGAAAGATTAAGCGGTTCGTAAAAGCGCAACGCGGGATTGAACGTTTCGCATCGATCCTCCGGTAAGTACTCTGGATCGTTAGAGAGTCATAATACACGTATAGTGAGCCATAAGATGTCGTTGTTACGCGAAATGAACAAAGTGATTTTATGGGCAGGTCGTATATAGATGTCTGGGATGTCTATAATCTCGAAAACCACTAGCCTTTCATTCTCGTTTGGATCTATATGTGCCATTGCTATGGGAATATTATTACCGCGATACATGATCGATGCGAGCGTTAGGTTGTTATAAAGACCAACGGCAAAAGCAGGGGCGTTAAAAATTTTTTTCAGAAGAGCTGATTTATATTTACTTGCGTATCAATGTTTCTGTTATTTTATGTAAATATTATGCTCGAGATATATTATACGTATCGTACAAGGGGATCTTTAGAAGTGAAATTCTGTATGACTTAATTGAGAGAAAATAAAACTGAATTGTGAGATTTTTTATTTTTGCGGTTCATAGTATATCTGATTCAAATTACACATTTTGCAGGTCGGAAAAGAAATTTCGAATTTGTTTTCATAGATAAACCGGTTAAATTATCAACGTAAACGACTCGAACGCGGACCAATCGTGGGTAATAACTGGTATTGAATCAATTTTGAACCGTGCACGCGGACTTATAGACTCGTAATGGGGGAGAACGAAGTCACGTGACGCTGATAAAAAATTCCAATCGGACACGGGCATACCTGATGGCCAAGTAACGATCCACTGAGATCCACATGAAGGTGTAGACGGATACCGCCCAGAGAGTAACCTCCAAATAACCAATGAGACGACACACGATGTCCCCATAGACCCATCTTCGTACCAGCGCCGGATACACCGAGAGCGGAACCACCAGCAGACCGCAAAGAAGGTCCGCCGATGCGAGAGACAGCAAGTAATAGTTTATCACCTCGGAGGGACCTGCACGGTGCAACAGTAATTTGTATTTATCGCGAATTGCTGCTTAGAACGCCTGCATAAACGAACGTTGGCATTTCGCGTCTTAATTTTGCACCGTTCTATAGCCACAGGGTTATCGAAACGTTCTAAATCAGTGGTTTCCAAGCTTTTCGGAAGCCATCTTAAAAAAGAGGAGGCGATGACACAAGAAAAATATATTCCAATAATTGGCAAACTTCCTCGAGCAACCTCTGTTTTAGAAAACACTGTTTTAAATCGAGAAAATTTACTACTACAGTCCCTGCTAATTCGGTCGTAAATTTTCTTAATATATATATTTATTCTCCAAATAGACACAAGAAAGCAAACTGTACGTAAAGGACACGTACCAAGCAGGGTGAAGGGATGTTTTAAAATTTACCCCCAAATTATATACAACGTATACACGACAAATAACACGTTTTCAAATCTAAATATGCAAAGTAACACGCTTTTACGTAATCTAGGCAGATAGTAAACTTTTATTTAGGTTTCGTTTCTCTATTTTCATTCTTCGATAATACGCATTTGCGCAAGCATCCGCAGTTTAGCTGTAACGCGCGGAGCTACTTTCGATTCGATCTCGAAGTTGACTACTTTCTACCGTTAGTTGCAGGGAAAGATTGGTGTTATTAGGCGGTACTTACCACGGAAATTAAGGTAGGTGGCGATGATGAGGAGATTCGAGAGGATGATGGCGACACCGACCACGAAGATGAGGCCCGCCTGCATGAGAGCCTCCAGCGAGGGCTCCTCCATGCCGCCACCCTTTCGAGCTGCATCCCCCCCACCCGCCCTTAGGTGCTGTTGCCCGTCACCCCCCCCTTTCAAGACCTTCTAACAGCCAGGTGCTAGGCCCTCCTTGGTAGCTTGCACCTGATCCGCCTTCGCCTCCTGGACTTATTGCCTTCCTCGGTACCTGTCCTGCCGGAGGCTGTCAATCCTCCGCCGCCAACGACAAACTTTCCCAAGATCTTATGCGGACGTACCTTCGATAACGAGGTCGTAACTTTGAGGATCTTGATGGAAGATCGATACAGCTATATCGCTGTAAGCAGAGAGCAGAAACAACGATGTCTCGTTTAGTTTATGGACGTATCACGAAGCGATGATCTTGGCTGGGAACAACCGCTGCGGGGACGACGATCGCGAAATAGCCGACGCTAAGAACAAAAGTCATCGATGAGGAGGAAAATGAAAATGGCCAATGGCGGAGGGAATGAAAGTGGTGAACAAGGAACGGAGTAACTTCGTGAAGAGAAGTCTTACAATAATCTTACTGCGGTGGTCATTTTGAAGATGGAACCCTCTACTCTCACGTCTCTAAATTGAATCTTTTCGATGAGTTGTTTGCACTAGATAGCAAACGAGAAAGGTAAACTTTACTTAAAAAATTGTTCAAATTTGAAGTATTCCCTTTACAACAGTCTCTATAAAACTTTATCAATTTTACTTTATCGAGTTTTTTATGAGGCACACTATTGGTACATTGTTAGACCTCTGATGCGTGTTATATTTAATGCCGCAATTTAGTTGGCTTCAAAGCGACATTTTCCTTGATCTCTTAAACTTTATATAAGTGGAACTTGCGACGATATTGCCGTGTGTTATGTAGGAATGCTTGCTAACAATTATTTTTGGTTACTTAGATGTTACAATGGATATAAAATTGAACATACACGTACATATCAGTGTTCCTAAAGAGGTAAACATACTCGATTAAAAGAGATAACCAGAATGTCGCGTCGTAGAGTGTAATTTTAAAATGAATTTAAAATAATGTCGCGTTTTTAACTAAAAACTATAGTTCGAACATGATTATAACTATGCAATTAAGCTCGCAAATTAAAAAATCCTATAATGGAGACATTCAGCAAGAAAAGAGAATTGACGATGAGATTAATCGATGACGATAAAAGTTCTCTCTAGTCTTCGATAATCCTTCATCCATATTCTAACGATCCATCAATAATTCTGCGATCAAAGGGATCCTCCTTCAACAGGAACAAGCAGAAACAGTATACATTACATACTATCGTGTGTTCAGGTACGGCATTAACTCTAAAAATACGAGCTCTCAAGAACCACTGCGAGACATCAATCTGTTCATTATTTAAACCATTATATTCCAGGAATATTCTGGTCCAGAGGATCAAAAATATAAATTTCGGGATTATCGTGCTTTTTCAATGTTTAAAAAGCAGTAAAATTGTCAAAGATATAATGATGCTATATGATAGTTGGTACATGATAGAAAGAAGAAAGAACACGTACGCTATACACAATAATAGATCACACAATTATGAGATCGTAGAATTACTGTTTTCATTTAATCAAATGACAAAAATGAAAAGGTCGTGCACGCGAATCCTCGGTAAAAATATTGCAGAAATAGAGAGACGAAAATATAATTGCACATTGTTATAAACGGTACAGTGAAACGTATGCTTTCGGTGTACGAAGGATCGTTAAAACCAGAACAGAAATGTGTTAAAATTTACGTAAATGCGATCGAAGCAGTGCAACTGCTAGCGGTACAACGTGTACCAAGCGTGCATCGATGTGTGTTTCCAGTTTGTGTGTGAAATCGCGCGGACAGCGGACTGGAATTTAAACAGCGCGCTCCGGAAGTCGAACTCGTAAAAATAGCTTCTATACCTATTGCATGCGTGAACTTTGAGCAAAATTAAATACCATACGTTTGAAAAGTTGCGTCCAACACTGGAACTATCGAAGTGGTCGAAATGGCTCGTTCGTAATTTCTAATAAAAGTTGGAAAAAATTTACTCGACTGGATTTTTCAGAATTTACTATAGTTCTCTGTAAGGGAATGAATTCCATTGCATTATACATTTCCTCGAGTATCTATCGCTTTTAATCGCATTCGTACAAACAAATACACCATAATCGTCGGTAGTTATAGCGGGTTAGTTAAACGAGACGCGAATAAATATACGTACAAAACCTGAATGGTTCGCGTTCAATAGCATTTCCTTTATTTATTCGGCAAGGCATCTTTTAAACGACTGTTTCGATTCGAATCGGTATAAATGCAGACATTATTCATCCCCTTGTATTTCGCTCGACACGACATTTACGACGAGAAGTTTCACGCACGACACTCGTCGGACAGGATCGTCGTATTTCAGGGGCGTGAGAATTGAATCCTGGAGTGTAGATTGTTTGGGTAACGCTATGGGTGTGTGCATCGTGTCGTTCAACGTCGATGAAAACGACCGCGACCCTGTTGACCATAGTCTTTCCCTTTTTATAAACATTCTTACAAAAGCCACGTAGCTCTACTCTCGGCCAGTCGAAACTCGCATGGTCAGTACACGCGTCCTCCATCTAGCTATCGACCGCCATTCATAATTCAGCTGAGTCGATCCTGAATGGAGGGCTATATTATGTAGCATCGCGTTGGTCGTGTATCATCGTGCTCGCCAAATTAAAGTGGAACTCCTGTATTTTAAGCAACGAAATTGACCGAAAGAGGATATTAATGTTTATTCTAATTTGATCCTTTGCAGATATAGTTCCATCTCTTTTGAGCTCCAACTATTGTGCATTTTTTTTTTTTAAACGATATTCAAGAAAATGGAATATTTTTGAAATAATTTCGAACAGAATTAGTAAAAAATTTTGCAAACGTAAAATATTTGATATATTTATCTAAAACGTCGTATATATTTTAGTATCTATAGTTGGAAGAAAATTACGTCGGTAGATCGCAATTAAAACCTTTTAAGGCAATTATGTGATATGTTATGTGGGGGGAGAGAGTTCGTCACTCGTAACACGTTTAGCCTCAATTCTCATACAACACGTTAAACCTTGCAAACGTGTTACGAGGGACGAGCTGTTTCCCTACGCATTTTACAATTCTTTCAAAACATTTCGAAGGGTTTGAAAAAGTTTTTCATATTTAACTTTAAAGAAATGATGGATTATACATTTTCAGTGGCATTATACACGATTTATAATTGTTCCAATTCTTATAAACCCGACTAAAAAATACGCGGAGCTTACGAGAAACACGTTATGTCCATTGTTCCAAGAAGTTTTGTTACACGTTCACCCTACAATTCACCTCTGGGTCACCTTATTGTAGGTCGTTGAATTCGATATTTTATCAGCCACGGACACAGGATTAAAGAGATTCAAGTTTTGATATTTCATTAGTAAAATCGCGTAGATCGTTCAATCGTATCTGCGATTCTCAAACCCAAGGTAAACGTCATTAAAACCCCGCTCTTGGCGGTGCTTAAGCGACAATCGTTAAATCTCGTCTCGTATTAGCAGCGCGTGCACACGGAAAACTGTATGCGTGAAAGACCCGCCTCTCGACGAGTCAATCGTTCTCGAGCACCACCTTACAGGACACGAAACGATCCCACGACACAGTCAATCAAATCGTAGTAGAACTAACGGTCCCGCGTTACATAATGTTCCGTAACGTTTACGAGTCTCGTAAAGCGGGTAGCCCGTGTCCCGTAAACCTCCCTTGTACCACCGACGAAAGTTGATATGTATTCGGATAGATTACAGCTCGGACTGTGTCCGGGTTATCGCGCTTTCTATCGGATTGGCTTTCACCGAGTACCTGGGGTGATCTAGAATCAACCCTAAACGTGTAAATCGTTCTTGTTCTCGTGGCTAACGTCGTGTACGCCCAGTCACGCTTTACCGTCCACCCTAAGAGACCCGTTTTCGTTCGGAAACTCTTATTCCGGAACGTGCTCACACGGTCGAGAAAGAGACAGTCGTATTGTACTTTCGAATCACTTGTATCGTTAACCCAATTTGTCCCCGATCATACGTTACAAGTTTTGTCAGCCGCAAATGGGGATAATTTCTTGTAATAGGAACGATACAGTCCGGGCCACGATATAGCGAGGTCGTAAACTAAACTCTCGAGGGTTGGGACTGCGTTTTTGTGCCCGTAATTGCACTACCCTTTTCATTCTCTACATGCATATATTATAAGCAGGTAAATTAAGATATCAAAGACTCGAATAAGACCTTTACCTGTTACGATACTTCTAAAAATGGCGACACTAGATAAAACATTTCTTCGTACTAAGGCCCTTGGTTGCTCGTATTTCTGTCAATTCGCTTGTTTCGGGAGCTGAAACGTGTAAACTTTGACACCTACCCGAGTTTACGATCCCGCTATATCGTGGCCCGGACTATAACAGAATTAAACGGACTTAAATGTGTAATATAGCGTTGTATGAAATTGCAAATGAGTAATAAAATTATTAAGACATTTACATCGATGTCTGTTTACTTTTGGATAAATTCGTACACTTGTAAATTATGAGGGAACATTGAGTAGGCCGTAGGGACACTTTCATAAGATTGGCTGTACAGTGATTGTGTTTAAGCACGCGCATATTAAACAGTTATGGCTCGTGCTAAAACTCGGTAGCACACCGCTGTGTTCGAAGCACTATGTGCATTTGATCCGGGTAAAAAATGTTTTGCGTATCGATTGGCCTGAATAAATCGTGCGTTTATAGTTAATTCCAGGCGCGTTTATTTAATACTGTTAAATAACTTGCAGCGTCGATAGTTTTTCTAATACCTGAACATCAGCACGATCTGTTGGTGAATAAAAATTATGTAGAAAAAATTAGTACATGGTATTTCACGTTGAGAGGACTCTAAATTTATTTAGAAAAGCAGGTATGATTGATATAATTTTTTATCGTACTTGTGATGCTAATAAAAGCCTGTTTTTATTTTTGTAAAAGTAGGTTAATTGTCGAATATTTTACGTATACATTTATTAGAGAGATCGATGTGATATTTTTTTAAATGTTATCACGATGTCTGAATCGTACACAAGGTTTCTTAAATCTTACCGGTACAATTTATGAATTTATGCTTAAACTGTTCGCTATCACGCATCTAAATAGAAAAATAGCTCTTTGATCTTTGTCTGGCGCGTCTGCCCATTACTCGTTGTTTCTACTTCCAATTTCAAGTTTCACGAAAACGAAGCCTGGTGCAAACAAATTTTATTCTTTCCTTTCTACTTGTTTC